ATTCCTGCTATATAGAACTGAAATAAATAGCATAGACATTAATGTATACTACTCTAAATTTATACATATAAATAGGGAGACTTACAGTAAAAAGTACAAAATATTTTTGATTATTTTCTCCAACACAATTATTAACCCATGGACAATGATGATCCATTTTCCTAATACATCTACAAATAAATTTGTAATATTTATTAATCACTTTTTCACATATTAGAACTTAAGATATTACAAATGATAGATTTACCTTTGGCAAACAGAACAATGATGTGCCCTGTCAGGTTTAATAGAACAACACTTGGGACATTTAAAAATTACTTGTCCATCTCTAAATCCCATTTGTTCAATCATTTCTTTTGTAGCATTTCCTTTTAGGACAGCACCCTATAAATAGTTTATTAAATTACGAATATATTTTAAATATGCTAATTACATGCTTCAAAATATAATTTCTACTTACTGGATCTGTAAACATTGTTCTTAGATGAGATGCAAAAGCTAAAAATGTTAATGACTGAAATATTGCAGTGTTTAAACTAGAATATAAGGTATTTATTGTAGGAAAAAGAATAACTGCCATTACTACAAACTCTGCATAAATTATTAACAACCATGTTAAAACTGCACATATAATTCCACATATATCCTAAAACACACAAGTAAGTAAAAAGTATTAAACTAATAGTTACAAAAAATATTTAAATTATTTAATAAAATATTTATACATACTTTTATACACCATAATTTTCCACCATAACATTTATTATGAACATCCCTTTCTCTATGAAAAGATATATAATCATAATCCATGATTTATTGCTACTTACTAGGTTCTTAACTATTAATCACATGAAGAGACACCAATAATGTTTACCAACATAACCATGGTTCTTTGCTTCAAAAAAAATGAACGAAATTCCATACAGTGTATTATAAAACAATTATCACAAATTTATAAAAAATTAAACCTAATAAAACAAATTTCTACTATGAAATAACATAGAATATAACCTCATCAAAAAGTATTAACATCGTTCTTCATGAATCCATAGTAATTAAATAATCCACATCAACTTTTATTTCAATTTTTTCCATTAGAATATATTTAATGTATTTATGATGAATATCGAATAATGAAATTGATTTTCCCGTTCTCACCACTTACTTAATTAGTCTGATCAGGTACAACCACTAATAAACAATTCTCTTATTAATATAAAACTTCTTTTAAGTAACAAATGATCATTTGTTTACATTTATTTAAACATAGAATACAGTAAATAAACTGAAAACGGAACTTCAACACGTTATCACGTGTAGATTATGATAGCTTGGTTTCTAAACGTCACTGATATTCGCCATTGAACAGCATTACGAACGCACCTGACATTCAAATAAACAGATGTTTTCAAGAGATATATGTTTGAAACGCAAGTGCACTATGTTATCTAATTAACATTAAGAAATGTTAAAATAAAATAAAAATGGATATAAATAATACTAGATTCTGCCGGTTCTAAAGTTGCCTGTCGTATTCTTACACGCGACTACAAGTTTGACAGTACGTCGTAAGGGTGGGGGCTACAGTGCGCAGCCATATTGGCTACTTGTGACTTTTGGGAGGAAGCGAGCAAAAAATAATACAACTTTTCTCATTTCTACATGAAAAAATGTTACCTTCGAGGATTTTTCATTGATTTCACACGTTGGTCTTGTTAGCGCGTACACGATTAAGATAAAACGTGTGATCATTTATACAAGCTCAACCTTTTTTACGAAAAATGGTATGTTACTTTTTGATTAGTAGATTCTCCACCTTGAAACACCTAAATTATTTATTATAAAATTTACCTATTTTTTTGACATTTCATTTTTACTTTTTCTTTATTTTCTTGTAGAGTTTCTTTGGGTTCGGTCAGTCGGCTGATATAGAGATTACTTTGGATGGTGCAGAAACCAGGAAGACTGCAGACATTAAATCTGAAGACGGTAAAAAAGAGCGCCACTTGTTATACTATGACGGTGAAACCGTCTCTGGGAAGGTAAAAATGTTTTCGTAAACGAATAAAACATTAATAAAATACAAGAGCTATTATTACAAAATGTAACTTATAACCTACGATGGTTATTCGAAAACTCCACATAGATAGACGTAAAGTATAATACCTAACTTTGTTTCATTATTCAATAATTATTTATATTAACATCTATATAATTTATATATCTTTGTATACCTACATTTATAATATATATTTATTTAAAACAATTAAAGTATATAATATATGAAAGTATATAATATCTTTAAGTAAATATAATTCGTTTATTTAATTTAATAAATTCAAGCTATGAAGTAGCTATATAGTAGAATATATCTAAAAATGATCTTTTAGTGAAACATTATGTCTAATATGTAATATTATAATATAATTTAAATTCATCTTTATATATAAATGAGGTTATATTAATTAACACATTATTATTTACAGATTAATATTAGTCTCAGAAAAGCTGGTAAATTGGAGCATCAAGGTGTAAAAGTAGAATTTATTGGACAAATTGAATTATATTATGATAGAGCAAACCACCATGAGTTCATAAGCTTAGTTAAAGAATTAACCGGGCCAGGAGAATTAACTCATAATACAGTGTATACTTTTGAATTTGCAAATGTAGAAAAATCATTTGAAAGTTACACAGGATCTAATGTACGACTAAGATATTTTCTTAAAGTCACAATTGTACGAAGACTTAGTGATATTGTTAAAGAACTTGAATTAGTTGTGCATACTCTTAGTTCCTACCCAGATATGAACAATCCTATTAAAATGGAAGTTGGAATTGAAGACTGTTTGCATATCGAATTTGAGTACAATAAGAGCAAGTAAGTTCTTCAATATAAAGTTTTATTATTAGTTTAATTATAAAGATATTTATTTGCATTTAATATTAAGTTTAAAAATCAAATCTTAAACTTATATTTGTATTTTTTCAGATATCATTTGAAAGATGTTATTGTTGGGAAAATATATTTCCTTTTGGTTAGAATAAAAATCAAACATATGGAAATTGCCATAATAAAACGGGAAACTACTGGTTCTGGTACTGTATAATTGACAAAAATTTTTTTTTTCATAAAAATAGTTGCAATAATCTTTCTTATAATTTGTATGCTATTTTTTATTTTAACACCTACACTGGAGAAAGTATTTTATTTTTTAAGTATTTGATTTTTTGCAACTTATACTACAGTTATAAGTAGAATATATATTTGCAGGTCCACATACGTTTACGGAAAACGAAACTATAGCGAAATATGAAATAATGGATGGAGCACCTGTTCGGGGCGAATCTATTCCAATAAGAGTATTTCTAGCAGGGTATGATTTGGCACCTACAATGCGTGACATCAATAAAAAATTCAGTGTTAAATATTATCTTAATTTAGTTCTCATGGATGAGGAAGATCGTAGATACTTCAAACAACAAGTAAGTAAAAAAGATGTGTTCGTAGTTTCCTAATTTTTTATTGACATATTATCTACAGTTAAATTTTTTCTTAGGAAATAACATTATGGAGAAAAGGTGAAAAAAGTAGAAAATTTCCACATATGCCATCGCATTTAGTATCAGCAGAAACGGGATTTCCACAAGGTGCTGCTCAAAATGGACCACCATCTGTATCTGCACCAGCTCAACCAGGACAACTGCCATCCGCTAACATTACTAATGTAGAGGATGCACAGGCGCCAATAGAAAGCATGACACGCGAAGAAGGAGATGGTGAAGGTGCAAAAGAAGTTAATTCTGAAAGTAACTGAATTTTTGCATACAATACAGTTACTAAAGTCAATGGAAGTTTTACTAATTCAGAGAATAAGTAACAACTCCGCACGGAACTAGTAATTTTAAATGAAACTCTTCTTGTACTGTAAAGAGAGATTGAATTTTAGGAACTATGAAAAATTGAAACATCTGCGAGTAAAGTTGTAAATATTTTGGATACCTATAAATAATGCGGATGATTAAATTGAATAAGTAGCCAATTATCGATCAAAATTTCAAATTATCGAGATCTATAGATAATGTATTATGGCGTCTGATGGGACAGACCTGAAATAATTAAACAAAAAAAGATAATATAAAAAAGAATAATGCAACCATATAAACTGAATATTCATAAATGGACAATTTAATAACTGAATATTAATGGTATATTCTTGAACGGTATCTGAATGTTACAGTGTTCAGAATATTTTATACAATCATATTATGTGTTATATTCTCAAAGATCTTTATCAAAATCTTTTGTGTTATATTATTAAATCTTTCAAATGACTAGTTTCTGTCGTATGAGAGTTTTATAAATCTGAAATGAATATACATATACTCACAATGGCTGCCCTATTTTAATCCATTCACCTAGTCTGCAATTAATATGATAAAGGCACTGAGAGAAATGCTTTTATATGTAATTTACTATTATAAAAATAATTTTCGGAAAAAATGTGATTTTTTTCAATAAAAACGTTTTATTGATATTTTCAATAAATATAATTAAAATAATATGTTAAAATATATGCACAGTATATTACATAATATCAATAGTTCTGTCCCAAATATAGTATAATTGTATATACAAATCATTGAATTGTGTATACCGATTAATTTTTTAATAGAATTTTTATGCAGTTTCCATAATCGTGATATAAATTATTGTAAGAAATACATGCCTTAGTATGCTTGTTCAATTTTTAGCATGCCTTTATTAATACAAACGTGGAGAGGTATCCACATCTATTGTAATAATACTGAAACGTGTTCTATCCAGGTAGTACCGTGTTTGCTACCATGATGGAAGTAATATGTTGATACGAGAAAAATATTCATCGTTTTGTACAATTCTATGTTAACATGAGTTGACTAAAAGTCTTGTTAAAAAAAAAAAAAAAAAAAAAAAATGCATAATGGTCAACTACGTGTATTTCGAGAATTTTGTTTCATGTAAATTAAAATTTTCATATTTCACGCCTTTGTTATTTGTTGACGAGAAAGTTATATGTGTAAAAGAGAGAAAGCAAAACTATTTGTGAATTATTTGACATGTCAAATATTGTATATACATATACATATTGTCATACGATATAAAACTAGCTGCATATTTTAATGCCCACATAAATATATTATACATCGCATACAGTGTACCTTTGTGTACACGTGTATCGGAAAACATTACTTCGTTTCTGCATACACCCTTCCTATCGTTTTATATAAATCAAGTATCGTTAGACTTTTATTCTTACTATCTATAACTTGTTTTTTATCTAGAGCAAATCAATTACTGTATAGATATATAAAGTATAGATTTCATCATATCAAGTAAACTATGAATTTAAGTGCAATTAATTTTATGACGAATTTATGAAGGATGGAATCAATCAGTGCTAACGTAATAGAGTTTTATAACGACGATTAAAACGTCGATTAAAATTTCCCCAGCTTTCCAAAACAATTCCCTTTTCCTTTTAGGATTATCTGAATTATAAGAAAAATATTTAAAAACTGCATTATAATTAAGTGCCTTCATGAAGCACAATTATTACTAGAAAATAAGAGTAAACGTTTTACACGTAGTAAGAATTAAGAAGTTCTATTATTTAATTAATTAATTAATAGAATTCATCATTTTTTCTCTTTAAAAGTGTATATATTTTATAAAGTTTCTACCTTTAACTATTATTTGTAATTTTAGTGTTTTAATTATTAGAATTTTTAATCAGTAATATTATTGCGTATATTAACAAAATAATATAAGATTATAAGCGCAACAAAAATAGTTTCATACTAATAATTTCATAGGAATAGTTTCATATTAGTAATTTATTTTTATAATCATAAACAATTTTTTTCTTAAATAAATATAAAAGTATATAAAAACTAATTAAAAATCAATTACCAATAATGTCAAAATGGTTACAATAGAAAATCTTATTCTAAAGTAAAAACAATTTTTATGATGATTAAAATTTCCAAGAAGAATTGTAACACTTAATATTTTATATGTAACACAATTTAAACTTTTTTTTAACTGAATCTTATTTATTTTTATTAACAATTAAATATTTTTCACTATAATACGTACTGTACACGTGGAAATCAAGCTTGAATAAATGTACTGGTAGTAAACTCGTTCGTAATATCTTGCAGAGGAATAATTTATAGATCGTAATTTATAAATCAGATTTTGTGGAATTTTTGAAACCAAATTTGAACCTTATATTAAGTTTCTTTAGGTTAATATATGTATAAAAAAGAAGCATATTATACAGTTATAAAAGAAAGAATTTACTTTGACTTTAATTAATTCTGTATAAAGACAATACAGCATGCGCGTATGTCTGCGCGCAGATCTGGTGTCCGAATAAACAATTATCATCTAGCTATCGTATTAGTAGTAGTTCACTGCCGGTTAAAGTGTCATATCTATCAGCAAGTTAACCAAAGATGGAAGTACAGACAGAATTAATCTCGGATCTGCGTGAAAGATTTTTCAAAAGATTGGATGATGAAGGACCACCAGACACTAGTGTGTATATACATTTTTTTTTGCAAAACTGTTTTTTCTCCAATGACACTTTTACAATTCTGATTAAGTCACAGGGTCAAATCCAAGCTGTGTGTTATATTCCAAGGCCAATCTTTTCAATATTCATTCAATGACAAGCAAGAATAATTTTTATAAATAATTTATGAAGTCTTTGTTCTTTATTTAATTGATTAAATAATATACAAAAATGTTTGTGGTTCAATGAATCACTTAATTCAATACAATTTGATTGCAGTTTCAGAATTTCATCCTGCAGATATTACTAGAATAAAAGAAAATAACAATTGGTTAAGGAGATTTTTAGAGCACAATGAAAATAATATACAAGAAGCACTTAATATGTTATGGGAGACTTGCACTTGGAGAGCCAAATTTGGTACAAATGGTAAGCATAATAAACATTCATATGTAAGTTACATTTTTACATTATTTTTATATACAATAAAAATATGTATATTATAATGTAATGATATATTATGTAACTTTTAATAATATTATATCAATATTATCCAATCATAGACATTACAGAAGAGAATGTAAGAAAAGATTATTTAGAGAATGGATTGTGTTTTATTTATGGTAAAGATAAAGATGATAAAACACTGTTTATTGTTAAATGTAAGTTACATACTAAAGGAAGCAAAGATTTTAATCAATTGCAAAGACTTGTTGTGTATTGGTTTGAAAGGTTAGAGAGGTAAGATAATATAATCTATAATAAATTAAGTCAATCGAATTAAAGTTGACATTACAAATTTGTTTTATTATTTTAGACAAACTAATGGCAATCAAATCTCACTTTTTTTTGATATGTCAGATACTGGCTTTTTAAATATGGATAATGACTTTATCAAGTACCTGATTAGCCTTTGTAAAAATTATTATCCTAATTTTTTAAACTATATTATTATTTTTGAAATGCCATGGATATTAAATGCTGCATTTAAAATTATAAAGTCATGGCTGCCACCTAAAGCAGTTCCAAAAATTAAATTTGTGCAAAAAAGTAACATACATGAGTTAGTTGATCCTAATGATATACTTACATGCTGGGGTGGTAATAATGAATATACTTTCAAATTTATACCTGAAGCACAAAATAATGCAGATGCTACAATGAATGGTAAACTTGACAGCAGAAAGGTATATACATAATTATTGAAAAAATAAATATCAAATTATTCACTTAAAAATTAATTATGCCTTATATAATTATAGGTACATTTCGCAGAAGGTTCCCCAATAACAGAGCAGTTTCCAAGTGGTTTTGGAGAACAGATATCTGAAGAACAACGTAATTAAAATTCTCACACTTTATTATGAATATTATTTAAGAAGATAAAAATTATATTATTTTTTGATAATTAATATCATTACTATTTTATAGTATTATCTATTGAACCAGATGCAGTTATACTTAACAAAGTAGGAAATGAAATTAGTGGCACAATCACACTTAAAAATGTAACTACTGATAAACCTTTATCTTATAAGGTATGATGAGACTTTATTTTACGATAATATTCAATACATTATACATATAAAACATTATATAAATATTTAATTGTTATACCATACAGGTAAAAACAACGTCGCCTGGAAAGTTCAGAGTTCGGTTAAGTTCAGGAATTTTATTACCTCAAGAACAACGTTCGATTTCAGTCGTTGTACTACAAGAGCATAATTTGCGTGGTCTTTTACATGTCGACAAATTCTTAGTTATGTGCTTTCCATTAAAAGATCCAAATACATCAGCCCAAGAATTAGCAGCTCTATGGAAGGTAACAATACGTTGATAAAATTAATTATTTAAATATTTCAGGTGTAATTAATTTCTTAATTTCTTTTTATTCAGTCTGAAAAACCAGCAGAGCAACATAAATTAAGATGTTGTGATGGTGGAATTACAAATAATGAAGCATTAAAATCACATTCCATACTAACATCTGGAATGTCAGAAAATAGTCAGATAGATACACTTGCTCGTAAAGTAAGATATAATTATGACATAATGTGCATGATGTTAGTAAACAGTTTATTAATAAATTAATTAATTAATTACAGATAGCACATTTGAAAGAAAGTAATACAAAGCTGCATAGTGACGTCGTTTCTCTGAAGTATTTATTGTTGTTTTCTATCATAGTGACAATTACAATGGCCATAATAGTTGTTTATATTTTAAAAACTGATATTAAAGATTCTGTTATTGAAAAAGTTAGTGAAACAATTTGTCACATTGACCATGAGATGTAGATTATTCAGATACAAATTCACTTTATTTCTATACATGCATAAAGAAATTTTATTTGTTGCATATTTATGTTTATGTAACACTTCTAATATTTTGACATCAATTTTTCTATTCTGTTTTTGGCTTATATTCGTTTTTCACTGTTTTGTTTACATAAGAGATTGTGTAGAATACGTATAAAATGTTTTACATTATTATTATTGGTGTAAAAAAAAGTTACTGTTATTTTTTGGGATATTTATGAATAACATAAATATTCAGAACATAAATGTATCATTATTATTAAAAAAAAATATATATATAACTAATTGGAATTATTTTTATAACGTTTTACACGTATTTCTACATGCTATTTGTACAATTTATCTTCCTTGTAGTTTATAATTTAATTACTACAGTTATTTCAGATTGATTACTTTGGTTTTATAATTCATCTAATATAGTGAAATGTTTAACAAAATGATTATAGAACACTTTTTACATTACGTACACTTTATAAAAATTTTAATATTAAATCTATGGTAATAGTAATAAATATATTTACATGTAAATACTTTATTCATAACTTTATAAAATGTGTTAATAAACTATATTTATATTTAATGGTAACAATTTATTACTTAATTTTATATTTTATATAGATGTATTTCATAAGTATATTTATATTATAATCCAATTATTTCAATCGAATGAATCAGGTTTGAGGTGATGCATTAAAAAAAATTATTGAAAGTCAAAAGTATATTTTATATGTCGAACTTGACTTTTATTGCATCATTATTTTAGGAAAGTAATATAAAATAAATTGTTGTTTTTTTTATTAATGAATAATGATATGTAATATTTTTTTCAAATAATGAATATTTTATTCTATAGAACTAGAATATGTATCTATTGCAAAAAGATTGTAATATCACACTAAAACAAATATTTCAAATTATATGTTTATCTGTTTGTTGTTTCAATTTCTAAGGACATAACAAATTATTGGCTAGGTTAGCACTATACTTAGCTGATTAATGTCAGTTACTAATGGAAAGTTTGGAAAAAAGTGAATAATATTTCACATAAATGGGTGTTGTCCTCCCCACTAAAATTTTTAATCAGTTCCCCTCCCTTAACTACAATATTCCCGCTCTTTTCGCATGGCGTCAAATTTTTTTTGTTTTATAAGGTCTACTTCTACTTGTAAGCATACAAAATGAGTTTATATCTGAACATTATCAAAATATGTTTAGTCACTGTATTACTAAATTAGTTCAATTTTTGCATGCTTAAAACACAAACTGTACAAAGTTAAAACTTAATAAATGAAAAAGTAAAAATTAATTGGTAAAATCTAGATAGGTTTAATGCCCGGAAGTACCTAAAACGACAGTCGTCCGGTGTAAACATGACGAGTGACGCGTGCCAGTGCGCAGCTACCAACGCGCAGCATTTGAACATTCGTAGTTCGATCGGCCATATTGTCCTCCGGGTCTTACACAACGCCCTCACACGAACATTCTCGACTTTACGAGGTAAGCGAATATTTCGAGGTTTCGGGTCGTAAGGGAACTTAGCACAACGTGGAAACTCAATTCCGTGTGAAGAAAGACGCCTTTGAGCAGTGTTGGAAGAGATCTGTGACCGCCGGTCGCGAGTAGAACGAAAAAGATTGGTAAGTTAGCTGCAGCACGTAGCAGAACGAACAGTATTCCCTTCCGTTGCGTCCTCCATATTGATGACAGCGCCGACGGTGATAATTTTCTGAAATTTTTGTCGTTAATGCCCCCTGTGTCCTGAAATCGAAAGCACCCGCGTTGTCTTAAAAGCTTTCCGACAGAATGCGCAACTTCGGAGCCTCCGGTGTTTGACGAAAGTCGACGGTTACGGAACCCTGGAGGCCCGCTACGTATTTCCACACGCTCCTTCACCCATCACAGCGCAATCACATTTTGCCCATGGCGTCATCCTCGTTCGCATTACCCGCTTCGCGTATTACATGGCGTTCCGCTGTAGCGTGTGTCGCTCCTGTCAATCCTGTTTGACTTTAAAACACTATAACACTCTGATATTTAATTCTGAAAATTACTAATGCGTGGGCAATCTTGCTAATTATTCGCTTATCTCCTTGTTCATCCGCTCCTTTGCACCTTCAATTTCTTCGCTCAGATATTGATTTTCCTTTAATTTCACATGATTCTCGATGTTTCGAGCATTACCACTCATATATCAGTGGTAATTGGTACAATTTTGAATGTTTGTTTGCATGCACGTGTTTTCGTACATTCTCGAATGCAAAACCGATTACAGTTGCGCCTACTTGCGAAACATTTATCATATTTGCTATATATGATATTGAGACCCTATGCCATTTTTGTAATAATTCAATAATTATATAAATGATGACACCTTTTTAAGGGTTTCTATTTAGGTTTATCTATGAAATTGTATATTTCAGGATGTACATATTGCATGAATAATTTATAAATATCTAACTCAATGAGTAATTGAATATATAGATAAATACTTTCTTGGCAATTATATGTATCATGTATTTGTATACATATAGCATTATATTCTTTATAAGTGATGATTGTATAGTTAATATAAAATATACTTCTTCCCTTTTTTTTTTTTTTTTTTTTTTTTTTATTAAAAAAAAAAAAAAAAT